GCTTCTACATACTCAGACATGACTAACACACTGATGACATCAACACAAGATTTTCCAAATATCTGTGTGTCGCACTACAGAATAAGCCATGGGTGAAATATACTCAAAAGTGCAAGAGACACTGATGGATTTCATTGTGACAGGAAAGGAAAAGGTTCATTGGGATGATTTTTGTTTCCACATGAGATGTCTTTAAAAAAAAATCTTTTTTTAACAAATAAAATCCAGAATTATTTGACAGTGGCTATATAAAAACTTCCCCCCCACCCTAACTATGTATCTGTGTGAGACAAGAATTTCTGCAAATTCTATACCAAAAGAACATATTGCACAAGATGAATGAGGAGGCAGATAGGAGAATCCAGCTTTTCCTCTTGAACCAAACATTAAAGAGATTTTCAAAAATGTAAAACAGTGCCTCCAATCTCACTAAGTTATTTCTGGTTAGGAAAATGTAATAATGTCCTGTAAAAATAGGTTGTTTATGTTAACATGGAGTATGTGGATTATTTTTAACCAGCCAGTGTTTTAAATGTTCTCAACTTTAATTTCCAATATAGTGAAGAGCTACAGATAAAATTATATTAGGTGCTAGGAAAATTGGAAAGCCACACATAAAAGAATGAAGTTGGATTACTCAGTAACACCACATACAAAAATAAGTTCTAAATGGCTTAAAGATTTAGATAAAAGACCTTACAATAATAAAATACATAGAAGAAAACATTGGCAATATGTTCCACAATATCAACAACAAAGATATTTTGGTAATTCAACCCCTGTAACAAGGGAATTAAAAACAAAAATAAATAACTGGGATTAACCCATTTTAAAAAGTTTCTATACAGCAAAAGAAAATACAAAATGACTAAATAGGCACTCCACGGAATGGGGGAATGTATTTCTGCGATATGTAGCTAATAGGGGATTAATATCCAGATATGTAAAAATCTCACACAATTCAAGCACAAAAAAAATGATAGTGACAATCCAATTAACAAATGGGTGGCAGATACGACAATTTACTACAGAAGATATCAGGATGGGCAAAAACCATGAAAAAATATTCATGGCCACTCCTTATAAGACGGTGCAGATTATAAGTACAATGAGATACCACCTCACACCCATGAAAATGGCACATATCAAAAAGATATCCCCACCAACAAGTGCTGGAGAGGATGTGGAGAAAAAGGAACACTTCTACACTGCTGGTGGGAATATGAACTGGTGAAACAACTATGGAAAGCAAACTGGATGTTCCTTAAAATATTAAAAATGGAAATGCCATATGAACTGGCAATCCCACTCTTGACATATATTCACCCAACCTGAAAACTACCAACCAAAAAATACAAACCCACATGTTCTGCAGTATTCACAGCAGCATCCTTTACAATAGCTGGAACATGGAAGCAACCTCAATCTCCTTCAGTGCATGAATGTGTCAAAGAGAGGTGGGACATCCAGACCATGGAATATTATATAGCCGCACAAAAGGATGAAATGCAGCCATTTTGACAAAATGGAGGGAAATTGAAAAAATTGCAACAAAACAATTCAAAACAAAAATATATATTGGACAATCATGGAACAATTTGACACCATAAAACTGGCCATTAACAAACATCCTGAGTCCTCAATTACTTTAAGCAAGATCTGAAGGACTGAGGCCACAATGTGAGCACCAGTGGTCACCAGGGCCAGTTCTGCAGAGGCTGCCTCTGCTGCTTGTCCTGACTGCACCCCCATTGTCATGCATGTCCCTGTACTCCCCCATGCTCTTCCCAACAGTATATAACCAAGAACATTCTCAGTCATAGGCTGTGGCCTCTTACGTCTGGAATGCTGTAGCACAAATATAAATTGCTAAACCTACTGGGATTTTCCCTAGTGGAAAAGGGCTAAATAAAATCATGTGGATCCCTAAGGGAAAATAATAAAGGGAGAAGGAAAAAAATGCTTTTATAAACTCAAAATAGGAAAAGCACTAATGTCATAGTAGCCAAATAACTTCCATAAGCCCATCTGATGACTGAGTCAGTGTCTGGCTGAGGAGGTAAATGGATGCACATGATTTGGGGGATGAGACAAAACAAATCAAAGAGAAACAGTAATGTCTTCTGTCCAGGCCAGGAAGCCCACACTCCAGCAGCCAGACACCGGGAGGCTCCAGCCACTTTAAACACAACCTGGCCATGCTGCCAGGCAGTGGTCACCAAGGACACAGGCTGGACATCAAAATACCAAGGAACCATAAAATGTAAAAATTAAATGAGTCAGCTTTTAAACAAAAAAAATCTAGTTATACTATTGATAAATGCATACATATTTGCGTGAACCTGGGCAAACACACAGACCACCTTATATAAATATAGATTTTTAGTATAGATTTTTAAATATATATATAAATATATATATATTTTAAATATAGATTTTTAAATTTTACTTACTAAAATGCATGAAGTAGTCTATAAATTGTAAATTAATAAATTAAATATACAGATTTAATGTTATTTATTTAAAAGAATGTGTTGGCTGTCTCGGTACGGTTGTGTGAATTTACATGGTCAGTTCTGTTGATTACAAACTGTTCAGTAGGTCAGAATCTGTCCAACATTGGACACGGATTCACACACACAATAAATAGCCAAATGAATTTTAGAATATTCTTTAGAATAGAATATGCACAACAGAGAACAGAGATATGACAACATCAAAAATCACTACATATACTGGATTCTTTTTATCAGGGAGAATTCTTGGAGCTCAAACTAAAAATACTGCCATTCTGTAGAGGTTAATAGTCATTTCAGGAGCAAGCAAAATTGGAAGTCCTTTACTCTTCACTACCCATCCTTCCCAACAAGGATGAGTTATTTTGATTAATCAAGCTTTCTACTTCACTGGGTTCATCTTTTCTTGCTGGAATCTATGTCTTATTGCCTTCTGAACAATACAACCCAAGCCTTTTAAAACACACCACGCTCTTCATGTACACACTCACTCAGGGATGGATCTCACGGATGTATACTCAGCAACGTAGGTCAGTGACATCAGGAGGTCTCAGAGCATGACCTTCAACTTACTACGAGGATCAGCAGACACGGTACACTCCCATTTCTGACCTACCCTCCTCCCACACATGAGCGAAGCACACAGCACACACGACCACAAACAGGCACGAGACACATACGCTAAGGAATAGTGTGCTGTACCTTCAGGTGACTATATTTTGCACATCTCCAGAAATAACTGACACAGAATGGCAGGGGGTGATCTCACGCTTGCCTTTAACCTCCCTCCACATGCCCTGCACACCCCTGAATGGGTGGCACTGCTGGACCCCAACTTCTGGACCCTCTCTCTTCTGCTCCCTCTCCACAGCGCCTGCAGGGCTGCACTACGTCAAACACAACCACCCCCGCATGGCTCTCTGCCGCCCTTCTCCTTGTGCCTCTTCCCACTGCTATTTTAGTTCCACTCAGCTTCTGCTCTGCATGTTAGATTTGTCCTGAAATCTTCAGTCTTGGTCATTCTCAGCAAGAGGACCTCCTTGTCTGTCTTTCCATCCCTAGGCACTATGGGTTATGCTTGACCTGCTCTGGTTGTGGGTTTCATTTGACTATATTTGAAACTATTCTCATGGCCTTTAGACTAAGTTAATAGTAAGCATTAACACCCAATAGTAGGATGATCTTATATCTTTTCATTTCAGACAGAAAATTTCCAACGTAAGAAAGTGAGATCTTGGGCCTCCCCTGGTGGTGCAGCGGTTGAGCGCTGGGTTGCGAAGCTGCCCGCGGCCTCTGCAGCACCAGTTCGATCCCCGGCCACCAGTGAGGGTCCCACAAAAAAAAAAAAAAAAGAAAGAAAGAAAGTGAGCTCCGTGGCATCCTCTCCCCCTACACCGTCATCACAGCATTGATTCCTCAGCCTACGTGAACTTACATTTCTTCATTCACAAAATGTTACTGTGCTATGGGTCCTGTGCTAGGAGCTGGGGAAACAACAGTAAAGGCCGGGCTAGGTCTCTGGAACAGGACGTGGCAGCCAGGTAAGCCCGTCACACACAGCCCAGCTTCGGGCAGCAATCTGGGAGTCACTCCAGCCAAACTGAGTATTCCCCACGAGTCTTTCAAGCACTTCTCTGCGTTACTGATGAATCCCAACAAGGACCTTTCAACAATATTTAGCTGTGCATCCCCCTTCACTGGGGCACAGCCTATACCCAGTACAGAGGCTTCCCAGAGCCTGAAGAAACAGGGGAAGTCTAGGGACCGTCCCCTGCATAACAGACCCCATAGCCAGCACCACTATAACCTATAAAATCCTGAAGCATTCAAGCCCCATTCCAAGGCTTTTATAAACTGCAAAAGGTCACCAGGGATGTGACTTCAGGAGGATATTAAAGAGGAGGCCTCACCCTTGTGTAAAAAGTTGAACTGCTCTTCCTTTCTTCATCCACCAGAGCACTACAGAAACTAGATCCCAAGACCTCCCTGGAGGCGCTAGGAATTAAGTCTCAGCACTATGAAGCTATCCACAAGCCACTGCAGCACGAGTGTAATCCCCGGCCAGGGAGGTGACCCACATGGCGCAGCAGACCTCTCCTGACTCGCCCGCTGCTCCCCTCAGCAGTGTATTTCAGTAGATCCACCTGTTCTGCTCCCCACTCTGTCTCTGGTGAATCCTCTCACCCCTCACACCTTTGGCCTCTACCCCAGTTCTTGTATGCATGAATAAGTAAATCTTAAAAAAAAAAAAAAAAAAAGAAACTAGATCTCAGTCACACCAACAAATACCCCCAGGTTCCAACTCAGATATTTAGTATGGGAATGCGGATTTAGTCAAATTTTTTCTAGAGTAAGGGATTGGACTGTATAATACTTGAAGAGAAGACAGTCAAGATTAATTCTTAATCTGTGAGAGACTCTGTCTACTTTCCCACACTTGTGTCCTCAGAACAACCTGACTGGCCCCCGTCACCACCTACATACCTGTGTGGCTGCGGATGTGAACTCTCAGCGTCCCACTGCTGGCGAATTTCTGGCCACAATACGGGCAAATTTTCTCCTTTTCTCCCGTATGTGTCTAAATGGAAAGGCATAAAAGGAGTTGAGGACAAAGAATTAAGTAAACATGATTAAATGCCTCTGACAATAGCAAATCCTTTTTTTCCAGGACTATGTTTCATTAAAATGATTTAAAACCACAATGTGATTTTAAACCACTTATCATGAGTATTCCCACTTGTTACAAAAAAAAAAAGGTGGCGCAGCAGGTTGAGCGCAGCACTGTAAAGCTGTCCACAGCCTCTGCAGTGCCAGGTTGATTCCCGGCTGGCCAGGGAGATTCCCACATGGTGCAGCAGACCTTTCTCTCTCTCCCTCTCTCCCTCTCTCCTGCACGCGGCTCCCCTCAGCAGTGGATTTCGATCCTTCTACCTGTTCTGCTCCCTGATCTGTCTCTGGTGAATTCTCTCACTCTCTGGCACCTCTAGTCTTGCACCCCAATGCTTGTATAAATAAAACAGTATTTAAAAAAATTTACAAAATATTCAAATCGTGCTTTTCTGTTAATTTGCCAGTAATTCTGCATTTACTTTTCAAGGCTTTCTAGAGCTGCCACCTAGAAATGATTAAGTCACACAAATCCAGCAAGTGCCAGCAGAGCCACACAGTGGAAATAGGGCTGGAGCACCTGTCACTACTGGCAGGACACACTTCCTGAGGAGCATTTCTCACATTCTTTGTGTGGATTGAACTCTTGAGGAAAGAACTAACCTCAAGAAAGTCATCTACTGCAGAGCAAATAGGCATATAAAACTGCCTAACTTTTAAAATCAGCAGGTGATGGGCCTCCCTGGTGGTGCAAGAGGTTAAGTCTCAGCACTATGAAGCTATCGGCAGCCACTGCTCTCATGCTGCCAATAGCAGCACAAGTTCAATCCCCGGCCAGGGAGCTACCCACATGGCACAGCGGACCGCTCCTGACTCACCCGCTGCTCCCCTCAGCAGTGTCTTTCAGTATATCTGCCTGTTCTGCTCCCCACTCTGTCTCTGGTGAATATTCTCACCCCCTACATCTCTGTTCTGTACCCCAGCTCTAGTATGCAGAAATAAATAAATCTTTTTTAAAAATAAATAAAATCAGCAGGTGTTCACTGAGCAGTCAACGTGAAAGAACTTTCCTTCCTGCCCTCAGCATGCCTATAATCTGGGCATAACACACGCCTGCAAGGAAGCTATTTTCACTAAACTGTTAGAATTCAAAGACAAAAGACTGACCTCTCCTAAAAGAGGAGGCAGACCCAGGGTTGAAACCTGACTCATCAGCATCTCGGGTGAACACTTACTCTACCAACACCAAAATAGATCACTCCAACACAGGAGGGGCAGAGCTACTTTTCAAGTCTCTGTTTTCCAAACACAGGAGAAGGGGAAAAAGAAGAAGGTGGTGATTCCTTGAGATATCTGGACATTTTTATGACCCTCTTTTTAGACTATTTCAATGATAACCTAAAAATTAAGAAAAAGGTGTAGTGGATGAATTTTACTATCACGAAGCACAGCTCCCAGGACCTGTGTTTGCATCTGTTTTCATGTAAATGACTAGCAGTATGATTATTTGAGTTGCCACAGGCTAATGAAAAAATATTTGAAAAGGTTTTTTAAAGCTGATGTGTCCTCAGAAGATGACGCATGGACTAGCATTGAGAGAAAGGGGCAGGGAAGTTACCTCAACACCTGACCACCTCAGAGAGCCACCAATTCAGCAAAACGTGTTCATCTCCCACATAAATGACTTAGCGAGTGTAATATCTTGACTTCATAGTCTTGTTGGGATCTAATCTGTAAATCTTTATCTCTGAATTACTGCCTGTATGCGGGTACATACAATCCTATTTGTAATTCACAAAAGAGCCATAAACTAAATTTCTTGGTCAGCATCAGAGTCCTTCAGATTTTATTCCTTTGAAAAGCACTGATAGTGTACTCAAGCTTGAGAGAGATCTCGTCCAGTCACCTGTCACTCTATGACAACATCTCCTTGATTCTGCACCTGGCAGGTATTTTTAACTTCTCATCTCACTCCAAATTCTTTTTTTTATTTTTAAAGATTTATTTATTTATTTATTTATACAAGCACTGGGTACAGTCAGAAGCACGGGAAGGTGAGAGAATTCACCAGAGCCAGAGTGGGGAGCAGAGCAGGCAGAAGGACCGAAGTACACTGCTGAGGGGAGCAGCAGGCAGCAGGAGAGGCCTGCGCGCCATGTGGGACTCTCCTCCGGTGGCCGGGGAGCAGCCGGGGATCAAACTGGTGCCGCAGAGGCCGCAGGCAGCTTCGCAACCCAGCGCTCAACTGCTGCGCCACCGGGAGGCCCCTCACTCCAAATTCTTAAACAAAATAGTTACACACCCTTTACAACTCAAGAGCTCTGCTCTCGTGATCCACAGAGAACCCATTTTCAAGCAAATAGTCTAACAACAGAACACCTACAGGAGCTTCATTCTTATTCCCTGACAGAAGGACCAAAATATGGCAATTCTTTCTTGATGACGGCAAAGTTGTGAAATGGTCTGTAGTATTACAACAACACAAGATTGTTCCATACAAGTAACGCCCACTTTATTTGTAATACTGTATAAAATCCACAGAATTTCTTTTCCTGCAGCATACATGTTCCCTTGTTCAAAAACATGACCCACATTTCTTGTCACTAGTATAATTTCAAAGAATATTAAGACACTACTCATGAAAATGATTAAAATGTGCCGTTGATTTAATTCAAATATATATCTTATTATTAGAGACTGAATTTGGTTAGCTGGTGTTTAAAAACAGGACAGTATAATACTACAATATATTGGGGTCTCCCTGGTGGTGCATGGGGTTAAGACGCAGCACTATGAAGCTATCAGCAGCCTCTACAGTGCGAGTTCGATCCCCAGCCAGGGAGCTACCCACATGGTGCAGCAGACCTCTCCTGACTCGCCCGCTGCTCCCCTCGGCATTGTATTTCAGTGTATTCCCCACTCTTCTCTGGTGAATCCTCTCACTGCCCCCCACCTCTGGCTTACTCCCCAGTTCTTGTACACATAATTTTTTTTTAAAAAAAAGTTAAATATGTTGGCAGAGTAGTATGAAATTGACCACCATGTGATAATGACATTCCTGTCCATAGGGCTTAGATATGCTGCTCACTCAGGTCACAGCAGGTCTGCACTTACTTTCTTGTGACTTCTGAGCACCGAAGGCGTGACGAAGGCCTTATTGCAGAGCTCGCATCTGTATTTCTTGTGTCGTTCGTGGACCACTTGGACGTGCACATTCAAGGTGTCCTTCCTTTTAAAGGTAGCATCACAGTGGTGACACTTGAAAGTCCTCTCACCTTAGAGTCAAAAAAGAGAAACAGGAGATCAGGAGATGCAGCAGCAGGGTCATGCTAAGTGCCTCCCACCACCCACCTCCAGGGTGCACCGGATTTACTGTTGTTTAATCCCAACAGCTAGCTTTATAGTCCTAACAATTAACCCTAACCATTAAAGCTACTTTTTCCAGTACAAATGTCAATGTCCTATTTGTAGATTCGCTATGTGATCAGGGGCAAGTCCTACAACCTTCTTATATTCTCAGTCTCTTTATCCAGAAAACATGGGAACTAAATTAGCTAATTTCCTAGCAGTACGATAAACTCTCTGCACATTATGGATCGCTAGGGCTGGGGATAAGATGCATGTGGGGCCCCTCCTGAATATCCCTTAAGTCTCACCACCCCCTGGCCTGCAGTGGGCAGAGCAAGCTGGGGTGGGAAGGCCGTGAGGGCAAAGAGACATGTCAGAGGGGAGCCCTAACCCCAGAAAGGTGCCTACACCCCTTCCTGATCTGCTGTGAAACAATGGAGAAGGTGTTCAATTTACCAAGTCTCAGGGATAGTTTGGGGGCCTGCCCCTCTCGGAGTAGCCGATGGACCGGGGCGGCGATACCCAGAGAGGAGAGCACCCTGCTTGCCTTTCTGCACGAAGGCCCAGGCACCTGCAGGGATTCTCACTGCTCATACAGCCCAGGCCTGCAGCAGGGAGCCACTGCAGCAGCTACACTGAGGGGTCATAAGGTGCTTTTTAAGCGTCACTTGTAAAACCTTTGGTTCTTCTTAACACCATGCCTAACGTTCAGGAGTCTGTGTTCAGCAAAGAATGTGCACTGAAGACAGTGATGTCTCCAAGGAAGTGCTAAAACCCATGTGGCCTTTATTAAGTGAATATGACAGACTAGTTAGTATTTGAATATATTTCCCTTTTAAAAGAACAGCCATATTAGCAGATTTGCACCTAACGGACACTAGAGACAAGACTTTCTACAACTAAGTTAGAGATGACAATTCAATTTCAACCCAGTTCTAATCCTTTCCACCTCCCCTACAAAAACTAGCATAAATTTGGAAAGGTGAAGACTCCAATAATCCTTCATAACCAAATTTAAGGCCAAAGGGAAAGGAAAAAAGGAAATTACTTTTCCTGGGTTTTTTTTTTTTTAAGATTTATTTATTTATGCACACAAGAGCTGGGGTACAGGCCAGAGATGCGGGGGGTGAGAGGGTTCACCAGAGACAGAGTGGGGAACAGAACAGGTAGATCTACTGAAATACACTGCTGAGAGGAGCAGTGGGTGAGACAGGAGAGGTCTGCTGCGCCATGTGGGTAGCTCCCTGGCCGGGGATCGAACTCATGCTGCAGAGGCTGTGGATCGCTTCATAGTGTGGTGCTTAACCCCTTGCGCCACCGGGGAGTCCTTCCCTTGGTTTTTTCAACCAGAATTATAACTCCCTCATTCAACCTTTATAGGCCTTCTGAAATCTTAAGCCTGAACCTTGTGGAGCTGAAGCTAGGATTACTTGCTGCCTCTGTGCATTTCTTATCTCAGAGTGTTACCTAGTTTGCCTTTATGTATCTTTTTGGGTTTACACAAATTATTTAGTTTTTTAAATGACTGGTGAGAGTAAAAGGAGATATCCATTGATAAAAGCTTTTAAGGTCAAATATCTAGATACAGATGGGGAAGTTTTTCGAGGCTGCTGCTGATCAACATTATTTTAAATACAGAAGGTACATACACAGTCACCACTCAGGACTTGGGTCCTCTGTCACAAGATGATGAGAACCAATCAGCTAAAATCAAAAGTGTTTGATTCTATTAAAAGTTCCTTGCCATTATTAAAAATAAAATTTCATCTAAGAGGCTTATCCTGAGCATCAGCCAAATTCAATCACGGAACTCTTATCACTGGTTTAAATATTCTAAAGTATTTAGAATACTGTAAAATAAATATATGTAAGTCATTCATCTCCTTGGTTTGTTTTCGTAATTAAATGATAGCAAAATGGGATGGAATTACTGCTGGCATATGACAGATTTTATTTCATAAATGCATAGTAATTGTTGATTTAAAAAAAAGGGAAGTGGAGCTAACAGCTACCCCAGGGTTGTAAGTGAATGTAAAATGGCTTAATCATAACTCGTGTTTTTTGGTTTTTTTTTTTTTTTTTTTTTTTTTTTGGGACCCTCGCTGGCGGCCGGGGAACAAACCAGCGCTGCAGAGGCTGTGGGCAGCCTCGCAGCCCAGTGCACCACCAGGGGAGGCCCTCATAACTCATTTTTTAATTTAAAAAAAGTACATTTCAGGGCCTCCCTGGTAGTACAAAGGGTTAAGTCTCAGCACTATGAAGCTACCTGTAGCCACTGCAACACAAGTTCGAAACCCGGCCAGGGAGCTGACCCACATGGTGCAGCAGACCTCTCCTGTCTCGCCCACTACTCCCCTCAGCAGTGTATTTCAGTAGATCCACCTGCCTGCTCCCCACTCTGTCTCTGGTGAATCCTCTCACTCCCTGCACCTCTGATCTGCACCCCAGTTCTTGTAAACATAATAAAAATCATTAAAAAAGTACATTTCATCATAATCACCACTCAGTATTTATAAAAGCTTTAATCTTTTTTATTGATCTGCATTTTAGATACTTTCATTTGACTAGAGAAAATGTCATCCCAGATTTTATCTATGTAATCAATTTTCAAGATTAATTGTTCTGTTTTCCTCAGAAATATTAAAAACTTAAATAGCAACAGGGACGCGACATGTTGAGGACACTGCACTGATTAGATCTGAATTAAAAGCAAGATATATATTATCTGTGCTAGACTGGTTTTCTTTTATTTTAGATACCAAGTGTCATAAATCTTTCTGATTACTTCAACATCTGAGGAAAGAATCCACCTTGAAACTGAGATCAGCAGTAACAATATCTCCTCCATCAAGTGCTGTCCTTTGGCAATGAGGCACTCACTGTGCTGTTCTAAACCCAGCCCTACCTCTAGCTGCTACACACACCTGCATGGCTACCGCAGTAGAACTCAACCCCCCCCCCAAGCCTGCTCACCCCCTAAGAAGTCAGACTTAGGGGGGCAGATAGTAAAAAATACCACTGTCAGACACTTGGGTTCCCCCTGTGCTATGGAGCCTCAATGACATCACTGTGTTTCTCTCAGTCCCAATTTTCTCATGTCTCCTCAAATGAAGAGTTTAACTTAGATGTGTACTCTGAACCTTTTCAACTTTAGAAGACAGCCTGTGAGTTACTAAATTCATGCCAGATTCCGAATGCTTTCGAGTCAGACATGCCTCTCTAATCATGACATTTAAAAAGAACAAAACAGCAGCTTCATCACTTCAAAGATATCTTACTGGGGCTGCCCCTGGTGGCGCAGGCAGTTGAGCACAGCACTGTGAAGCTGTCCACAGCCTCTGCTGTGCGGGTTCCATCCTGGCTGGCTGTGAGAATCCCACATGGCACAGCAGACCTCTCCTGTCTCACCTGCTGCTTCCCTCAGCAGTGTATTTCGGTCAGTCTGCCTGTTCTGTTCCTCACCCTCCCACGCATCTGGCCTGTACCCTGGTTCTTGTAAGATAAATTTAAAAAAAATCTTTAAAAAAAAGATATCTTACTGAATGCAGAAAAATGTTGATATTCAAATGTCAACACAAAGAAATGATACAAAATATGAAGAAGTCCCTTGGAATGACTCCTCTTACTGTGGGAAAACAAAGCCAGGATAAAGGAAGAAAGAAAGAAAGGCAGGGTTATCCCTACTCTTTCTATTTACAAGCAGGTTATGTGACTACCCATAGTTCACTTCTGCGATGCCATGTTCTCACAGGTTACAAGAACAGCGCGAGAAAGGACTCTGTCATCGACCACAGTGCTTGCGTTCCACTTACTGTTATGTATGAGCAGGTGTCTCTGCAAAGAAAACGGGGTTCGGAACAGAGCTTTACATTCCTCACACTGGAACGGCCTCTCCTCAGAGTGGGTCTGCAGATGAGAGAAACCTAAGTTAGGAGCGTCTAGAAATGGTGGGTCCTCAGAATACCTGGGGCCCAATTCACATGTGAGAGGTAAGAGGGAAAGCAGACATTATCTGTTTTCTTCCACTCACATTCTCCTGCCATAAAACCACCCACACAGGGCCTCCCTGGTGGTGCCGGTGGCTGAGCACTGCACTGTGAAGCTGTCTGCAGCCTCTGCAGCACCGGTTCGATCCTGGCCGCCAGCGAGGGTCCCACATGGCACGGCAGACCTCTACTTTCTTGCCTGCTGCTCCCCTCAGCAATGTATTTCTTTGTCAGTCTGCCTGTTTTGTTCCCTGCTCTGTCTCTGGTGAATCCTCTCACCCTCCCGCGCATCTGGCCTGTACCCTGGTTCTTGTATAAATAATCAATCTTAAAAAAAAAACAAAAAAAAACACCCACACATATACTCTAGGCTCGCAGGAGAAAAACAACTACATCTGTAAATTTTCGCATGGATTACAAATTTGAGAAATAGTAGAAGGCACAATTACCGTAATCTCAAAATGCTAACCTGAATACATATTGAGATTCCTCAGAACCTTCTTTATAAAGGGAAATGATGTCATTTCTCTAAAAACACAATCTCCTTAACCACTGAGCAGGTTCTAACTCTACTCCTACAACACTTTTTTTTTAATATTTATTTTTTTTTTAAAAAAGATTTATTTATTTATACAAGCACTGGGTACAGTCAGAAGCGCGGGAGGGTGAGAGAATTCACCAGAGCCAGAGCGGGGAGCAGAGCAGGCAGAAGGACCGAAGTACACTGCTGAGGGGAGCAGCAGGCAGCAAGAGAGGTCTGCGCGCCATGTGGGACACTTCTCCAATGACCAGGGAGCAGCTGGGGATCGAACAGGCGCCGCAGAGGCCGCAGGCAGCTTCGCAACCCAGCGCTCAACCGCTGCGCCACCGAGGAGGCCCTCCTACAACATTTTCAACAAGAAAACTGTTAAAAAGGAGGTTGTTTCCACCCTTTTCCCCCAACTTAGCTTAATAATTTCAAGTAATTTTTAATCCTACTTGCTTCAGTTCCTCTAAATTAAACTAAAACATTTATCTATTGTTATAATCAACATTTAGCAAGATTCATCAAATACTTTACATTCATGAAAAAACTTTACATGAATTATTTCACTTTAACAGCAGTCAGAAGAATAAAATGTTATTATTGTCCTGATTTTATGGATGAGAAAACTAAGTTTCAGTAACACGTGAAAGACCAACCAGCAGGGCTGTAAGCACTTTGAAATATATGAGAAATAAACAAATGTTGATAAACTAGAGTCAACAGAGAAACACTTGATACAACTAAACTCAAAAAAAAAAAAAAGAGAGAAAACACAAGCTTATGCACTTCAGCTACTGTCCATCACAAAACATCCTATTCCAACAAAATGACAAGTTAACATTGCTCATAAAAAATAAAGAATGGATGTCAGAACAGGTATTTAAAAATCAGGATCAACTGCAGATATTCAAATATGCCTTCGGGAGATGAGGTCAGACAAAGACAAGAAGCAGGGAGGAGAGAAGCAGGTCACGGAGGGCTGGCCGACTGCGTCTGTGTTTTACCGAGACACACATAAAACCTCTGAAGGGTTATGAGTGGATGAGCAGCGGAATTCACCTGACAGTTAATAGGATTCTAAGGTGCTGTGTTGAGAACAGGATGTAGGGTACAGGAGGAGCAGAAGAGAAGCAGAGAAGCAACAGCAATAAACCAAGCAGGGGAAGATTAAGCCCTATCCCAGGATATGAGCTGCAAATGGAAGGAGAAGCTTCTGGATATATCATGAGAATGGACAGGTTTTACAGAGACTTAGACATAAAACACGAGGCCCCAAAAGGAAAGAGTAAGCCTGCCTCCCAGCTGAGCTACAGGAGGATGGACTAGCCACTAATACATATATGAATAAACAGTGTGAAATATGTTGGGGGGAAAGCTAGTGGGGGCAATTTTGAATGAGTTCAAGTAACTGTTAATATTAAAAGATTATTTTAAGCCTCAATTATTGGGCATAAAATCTGGAGATGTCAGATTTTATATGGCATTCCTATGTAAAGTCATGAATACAATGAAAGAATCAAAAATTCAAAACGGGACATGGATATCTTTCTAGGTGGACTAAAAGATAAGGATGCATCTGGTAGCTGGGGGTGCCAAACTTCTGAGGAGCAGTGTAGCTTTATGACCAAAAGAAATTAGCCAACTACCTTTATAAAAACATACCTGACAAATTTTTGCACAAGAAAAAATGTTTTAATCAAAGAAAATGCCTAAAATGTCTAACAGATAAAAACCTGGTTAACTGAATTTTTATGGGTCTTGTATATTTATTCCCTTTGACATACAACAAGATCCATAACATGCATTGAATGTCAGGGCAGAATGCAATCCCCATGTAGAAGATACCATACTGCTTATGTTTTCTTGCACAGAACGCCGTCCAGAAGATGCTCCAGAAAACACTGAGCAGTGTTTCCATAGAAAAGCAGAAAGATATTTGACAGACCTTTTGCTTTCTTCTTTATACCTTTCTCTGAAGTTTTAATTTTCTACCATGAGTACGGACCGATGAATAAAAAAAGAAATTATTTTTAGAGTGTCCGCATTTGAATACAGAGTTGCTTCAGCCTTCAAAAATTATGATATTCCACCCAAACCAGCTCCTCTTTTTCCAAATCTACAGTCTAACAACTTGTGGGTGAGATTTAGTTGTCTGATTATGAACAGAGATGGACAGCATAACGCCTCATACCCAGGGGGGCCAAGCCAAAGCCACAACATGCAGATCAGGGTGTGACATGAACATCCCACTTTTAGCAGTAAGCTGTGAGTCCACAGCCAGGCCAATAAACATCCTTGTCACAAACATTCTAACACCACCAACCCCTGTTTTGATAGCATGACCTGTGAGTCTCCGCAAATGACCCCTGCATTCAATTGAACCAAGGCCCCTGAAGCAGCCACCTCCTTGAACTAGTGCAGCAAAAACAAGCTCACACGTGGTGGAGAGGACTTCTGTCCCCAGGATGGAATCCATTTCACAAGGACCAGATAATGTAAAGCTTTCATGAGGTGTCTCAGCCTTCAATTTTTCATCTCTAAAGGGTACCTTCTACAGTCTGATTAGTTACATTATCCTGAAATACAGAAAATCCCCCAATGCCAACATCTGCTAACCAAAAAGGAAAAAAAATGCACTGGTCTGTGAAATAGTGCTGTGAAATGTAATTTTATAGGCACCGATTCTTTTTATGCACCAAGTCTGATTACTGTTGCAGATGTAAAGTATTTGTGGCACTATTTATAATACCAAATGTCTCAGAAATGCTTCAGAAGGCTATTTTAAGCATAATTTTTTATACAATATTACCAAATTAGCACATTTCTAGCCAAAATGATGAAATAGTAATTTCATGGGGTATAATAAAACTTTTAACAGGGCTATTCAAAATTAAAAATGAGGACCAGGATTATCAGGAATATATACTGTTCCACTGTAACAGTATTCACTGGGAATGGTATTTCTTCTGAGAGTAGTGTGCAAAGCAAGAAAACAATCATAAAATTCAGGGGAAACAACAAGAGATAAAATAAAATATCCCAGAGATAGATTTGTTATTCTTTTTGGGGAAAAAAAAGAGTTTTACTGAAGTCTCCAGTCTGCATGAGTGTATTACTGCCCCATTGGGTCACATAATAAACCTAACACTGCTGAAAATATGTGTCACCTGCTTGATTACAAGGTCTGTGGATTAAATTTTTACTCTCAGCTTCATACCTGGCTACCTTAAAAGGACTCCTCCTCATAAAAATGAATGGTCACTGGAGCGATAAATCAGCTTCTTTAGGTACATACAGGGAGAAGGGAGCTCATGCCACATGGCCTTAAAGTTCCAACATTTAGGTTTGTAGGATATATACAGCCCCGCACAGCCAAGCCCACCCTTTCCACAGCTGGACAGCGACACCTGCACTAGGGGACTTAAGTCCCCACAGCCTCAATGACCCCTCATCAGGGCAAAGGGACTTTGCTAAGAGAAGGAATAATCACGGCCATTTAAAGCTCCACCCAGGAAGCTTTCCTCCACAATGCTGCTAAGAGACTAGACACTGTCTCATCTTTCTAACCAAGGATGCTTCCAACACACCTTTCAGGTATGCATAAATAATAAATCTTTAAAAAGAAAGAAGTTGACATCCTCATTTTAAAGTTCTGCTATTGTAACAGGGTGGTCCCCAGGAAAGGGGGAGGTTCCCTGCCCCACCCAAGGGAGGGTGGAGCTGAGCAGGAAGAGGAGAAGCAGAAAGAAGAGACTGAGGAAGGAAGCAGGATGGAGCCAGGAGACCTGGAGGAGGCACATGGAGCGTAGAGACACGTGAAGAAACTGCGCTTGTCTTTTGGTCGTGGACTGGGTGACACAGATGTGGGTGAGACCCGTGGGGAGGTGACAATGGCAGCTTTTATCTGGATGTTGATTTTGCTCTTTTCCTTCCGGGCTTGTCCGGTTGTTTGTGACCCTTTTCTGTGGGTCCCCACTGGAAGATGTTTTAGACTTGTGGCAGGCTTTGGGGCCTTGCTCTGGGCCGACCCCATATGGATGGAGTTTTACCCACGAGGGGATGGGTAACTTTGGGTGCTTCATTTAGAAACTAGACTCTTTGCCTTACCTGTGTTGTTTCCTAGTTTTATTAAAGTTCCTTCCCATTAAAGTCTCATGTGTTTTGTGTTGATGCGGCGGATGGCAGAACCCATTTAGAATAGGCAGGTTTGCGGGGTTTGGGCTGCCCCTCTCCCTGTCCTATAACACTATTACAATGGCCAGCATTTATTAGCATCGAGGCACACAGAACAAGTTTATTCTATCACCCGCAGTGAAGTTCTGTCTGAATAGATGCAAACCATCACAACATCCCTTCACAGTCAGACCACACAAGCAGCTTCACTCATGACACCAGAGTATTCAGATGCATCGTGGTCATTATAAGGCAGAATTTGCCTATAGATTATAAGGTAGAGGATGCTTGTAGAAGCTGGAATCCTAGGGTCCTCCCTGGTGGCACAAGGGGTTGAGTTCCAGCACTATAAAGCAATCCAGAGCCACTGCAGCATGAGTTCGATCCCTGGCCAGGGAGCTAACCCATATGGCAGAAAGGGACCTCTCCTGTCTCACCTGCTGCTCCCCTCAGCAGTGAATTTCAGTAGCTCCGTCTGTTCTACTCCCCATTCTGTCTCTGGGAAAATCCTCTCACCCTCCCATGCCGCCACACCTCAGGCCTACACCCCAGCTCTTATATGCATAAATAATAAATCTTAAAAAAAGAAGTTGACACCGTCATTTACATAACCTGTATGACAACTCATAGCAACTACACTAGACCTGCATTAGTTCATCTAGTGGGTAACTTGTTTGCTAGGCAACATGGCAAGGTAAGTTAGTATCCTGCATTTAAAATTTACTTGCCATCTGAAGAGAAATGAGTGTAGTTTCCTATAGTACAAACAAATGTACAACAATGGAGTAATTCCGATTCATTTAAACTATACTCTCTAGAAATTAATGGTAGTTCTTGAGTAAGACATTGTTTTCTTATAAGATAAATCACTAGAATTAACAAATGATAATACTTTTCCAAATATTTTGTTGGGCAAGAGAAGAAAAATGTGTGTGTGTTTTCACATATCTGTAAGCCCCCAACTAACTCTCAAAGTGAGCACATCTCCAGAGGAAATATACTCAACGAAAGTCTCATGAAAACTAATGTTTTGGGACTTCCCTAGTGGCATAGGGGTTAAGTCTCAGTGCTGTCACCTTGTGGCATGAGTTCAATCCCCAGCCAGTGAGTTAACCCATATATGGCTCAGCAGACCTCTCCTGTCTCGCCCGCTGCTCCCCTCAGCAGTGTATTTCAGTAGATCTGCCTGTTCTGCTCCCAACTCTGTCTCTGGTGAATCATCTCACCCCCTGCACCTCTAGCCTACACCCCAGATCTTCTTTGCAAAAATGAATAAATCCTAAAAAAAAAAACTAAAAACTAATCTGTTTCCTAGTAGTGGGTCAGCAGGAGCTATAAGTTAAAGCAGAGTCTATCTTCAAAGCTTACAGTCTAGGATGGGAACCAAAGTGCTCAAGTCAGAGGCTGTACAATGCTATCTCATCATCCACTTCTAAGAAAAATCATTTAATTAGGGTAAGTGATTTGCCATTAGTTAAATGAGCCTCAGATAAACACCTGCATTTTTTGCTTCCCCTTACGCCCCTCTTGGTGTGAGAATCTTTATCACTGCAAATGTGCTTCTAGAATACAAATGTGCCTCTAGAATACAAAGACAGGCAATTCTGTAACCACCTTAAGTAACCACCCACTTCACCTACAGTGCACTTGAATAAGGGAAATCTGATGCAGAGCTGAAGGGAAGAGAGGCTGTGAGAGAAACATGGAGGAACTGTCTCTAGTCTCCAACATGGCACCTTCCTAAGAAATTTCAAGGACTTTTTTTTTTCCACTATGCAAAATTTATGCCATAGAGCATGGTTTTAGAACCTAGCCCATTATCTATTTAGGAAGAGACCTGCCTTTTTCTTCAGGATCTAATAAAATTTCACATGGACAAAGTCTGATCTGCAACATCTTTCCAACAGTTTCATCATGACCAAAGAAAAAGCCTTTATATCAAAATCCAACACACACATTTTAAATTTCATTAAATGACCCTTTGTCTCTCATACATTCCATTTTAATTTTTAGAGGCTATTCATGACCCATTCAAGTGATTTCTAGAGCCACAGTGGGCAGGGCCCAGAGCTGGGGAAGCCCTGAATGAGCTGGTACCAAAGAAGACAGTGAGATTATTCCAGGAGAGCTGATGACCAGCATATCCCCAAGGCCCCCACAGCTCATCCCTGGAGCTTAAATACAGGATAGGGGAAAAAGATCCGTTATTGTAATCAATGCACCTATAACTCCAGGAGTTTGCTTATCACTTCAGATAACACTCCTCTGTACTCAACTGCATCATCAAGCCAATCATGCTACCCCCAGGATCCACAACAGCTGGGTCCATCCAGATGCCCTCTAGAGCAGGAGTGGGGTATGGGAATGGCATCCCAACACTGCCTTGCATTTAATGTGTTAGGAAACTAGTATGGAGTGTGAAGATGAATCCCTGGTTTCTGTCTCCTGTGGTTCTCACATCCTTCCAATTGTGATTTAAAGACCCTAAGAGCAGTTGAATCCAGTTAAATTTTACTTTAGCTAGATCCTAAAATGCAACTATGAAATCAGGTGAAATGGTTGGCAGAGGGACCAGAAAGAAGACTTATTTTGACCAAGATGGTGAAAGAAATAATGAAGTTTCAGAAATAGAAATCATCCCTTCCAAATTTCATACATAGTCATAACCACGTATCGTAAAAAATCTACTGACCTAAAAACAAGTAAGTATGATAAAAAGAATGGGTCACATAATCAAAAAAACAAAAATGATTTAAAATAAGAACTTGTGCTCATGCTACTTGATGATCTATCTGACTCAATGGTTTTTTTGTTTTCCTTGCACAGCCTCATTTTTCAGTTTTATGACTAGCCATTAACGAATAGTGGCAGAAGGAAAACTTTGATTTTCTTTTTTCACTTTGACTCTTGGACAACATGGCAGCATGTTCAAGCACACCCTAGGATCCTAGCACAATGACAAGGAGCACATGTGTCCACAGCAGAAGGACTGGGTATGCTCCTCACATAGGAGAGTGCAGGCACTGTGGGCCTAGCCTTCCCAAGATGTCACTGTTACTTTCCTATGATTTATAGCTCAAAGTATGAGAGCTGGTGCAAAGATCCTGTGCCACATTCCCATGTGGCATATAACATAATGCAAACTGTGAAAAACTCATAAATGTGGATAGATCAGTTTCACCAAGGAAAGGAACAAGAGGGTTCCAGAGACTGAGCAGGAAACAAGCCAGATAATTTTTTACAGTCCTGTCATTCCTAAGCAGCAGTAATGAATGCAATCCCGCCCCTAAACACACAACGCTGTAGTGAAACGTAGGGCAGTGAGCAAGAAATTAGGCAGAGATGATTTGGAACACTATCAATCATGCCTGTCTACTCTTTGACAAATGTGCCTTTTATTTCCTTTCAGACTGAAGCTGTAGTTGCTATCATAACTTCATAACTTTTCAAATGATTTTAAAAGATATAAAATAATGTCTGAAAGTCCTAGTAAGTACTGAAATAGTACAATCTCAATGGAATACTATAAGTGAAATATGTTATTTTAAAAGAGATTATATGTGTTGGAAAATCATGCTAAAATAGGTCAACCAAAATCAGTAAACAAATATTGAATATATCACAAATGCATTTTAACATACATTTCTAAGATGTCGAATGCCTTTGGACGATTTTTCTGAATTCAATTCAAACATTATTATCCACACAAAGAAGATCAAAAACTAACACGTTCTGAAACAAGATCTTGAGTAAAGTGCAGGAAATGCAAACAAAAACCAGCAGAGAAAACTAAGTTTGTAACTTCAAGAGCTTCTTATTAAAAGGAAGAAGGTTGCATTAGAGGCCACGCAGAAAGACAGGTAGTCCCAGGTATGCTGAGTGCCAAGAAAAAAGGGGCCAAAGGTGAAAAGTCAGCTGAGGCCATGGTGTAGAAAACTTTGACCAGGTCAAGTATAGATACTATCACTTACGCAGGCACCAGAAATCTACTTCTAATCTTCAAGCATGAGGGTGACATGTCAGAGCTGTGCTTTGGGAAGACTTACCTGGCAGGGGGTTAAATGGGAAGAGATAAATAACCAGAAGCCTAATTTGATGGCTATTAAACAAAGGAAGATGAGTGGTAAGTCAGAATTTGAAATGGTGAAGGGGAAGGTGATTAGACCATGGACAGGGTACAACCTGAATAAGTTGACATTTCATTTTTAAAAAGGGCCAAGACTGAAAAAGGAGGATAATCATATACTTTGTTGTTAAGAAACAGGCAACTCCAAAAAGAGCAAAAGGACCTAAGTCATTCTGAGGCAGGTTGAATTCAGTAGGTCAGTAAGATGCTCAGTCATGTAACAAGTAAGTGGTAATAATTGTGGGTCTGGGGCTTGGGACTTAAAAAAAAATAGGTCTCTCTGGGTATTCCTCAGCAGAGAGTTGGTGGCAGAAGTCACGGATGCGGGTGACAACAGACAAGACAGGCCCAGTCACAGCTCCAGGACAACCTCCTAGGGAAGAAGGAGACAAAGACATGTCCACAGACCTCACAGCCCTACCTGGGTACATTGCCCAAAGGTACTATCAACAAGGTTGTCAAGTTTTATAGAAAGAAGGGCAACAACGAAGACTTGGGAGTGAGAACATCACCGGGAAAGACTGGATGATGCTTTGCGTGGGCGAACAGTTTTAACAGAGAACGGAAGGCAGAAACAAGGCACAGAACATAGAACCTGAGTGAATGGGGAGAAGTGGCAGCAAGATTCTCTGCAATGCTCACAACGGACAACACAGCCCAGATACACGAAACGTTCCTTAGAGATAAACAACAGGCAATCACATCGGCAAATGAGCCAAAAACACACACTCCAGTAAAAACGAGCACTTACCTTCTTGTGATTCTTGTAAACATTTCTGTGGGCAAAGCCCTTTCCACAAAGCTTGCATTTGTAAGGTTTATCCTCGCTGTGGATGACTTTGTGAGCTCCCACTTGATCGAGCCTCTTGAAAGATTTATTGCAAATCTCACAATTATAAGGTCGTTTCTCTATAAAAAAAAAAAATACAGATCTAGATAAAGGTAAAGCATCAAAAAGGAAACATCCTTACTTTATTTGCTACGGGTAAGTCAACTCCAACATGATCAAAACAGCTGAGAACTACCTCCTGCCCAGGTCATCTGTTAGATATGTGAGTCTATTCCCTCATGCCTTTCTAGACCTAGTTTGTAAACTGTATGCAATAAGGCGCTTAGCTAGAAAGATGAAGCTTAAATTCAAGGAAGGAATCCGACTACTAATGAAAAACTGTGCTGATCAGTGTGAGTTTTGAGAACAGGGGCCTGATAGTAAAGGAGGTAAACCACAGGCCTGCCCTCACCGCATGGTGGGCCCCAGAAGGCACAGCTTCCAGTTCTCGGCAGGAGCTACACGTTTAGAAAGTTAAGTAAAATCTGTATTTCTAAAACATTCATGTAATGCTGACAAGTAGGAAAAAAAATACTATGTTTCAAACAAAGCATACCTAAAGGGCACCAAGTTTATATCTATTTGTCTCCCCAAACACTGGATAATCAGAAACATTCTAACTTCAGTGGCCTCAAATTATAGACACCCTAAACTCCACGAAGACACCTCATAAAGCAAAGATTTTCAGAGAAGGATTTTTTTTATTTATTTCTGTACAACAGACCTGCTATTCGAACTTGCTTACAATAAAACGATGGTTTTAATGCCTGTCTTTCAAAATGGATTTATAAATTTTTCACGAATAGTTACTAGTGCCATAGTGATCTTGTGTAAGCCTCTAGAAATGCTGCAACTTTAACTGTCGAATCCTTCCTAAATGTCAGCGTTTGCTAGTGGGTACATACATGGCTTCATTTAACTTTCATAGCAATTTTGAAAGGAGGATCCCTTATCACAGATGGAGAAAGAGACACTGAGCCACAAAGAAGAGCAGGTGACACAACAAACAGTGATTCTGGAGATACTCAGTTTCATTGAATCTAACCACCTTGGCTTTAGAAATGCATTAAGGTCTAAAGAAGTTCATTAAGTTATTCAAAATCACACATGAAGGGGCGTCCCTGGTGGCGCAAAGGGTTAAGACACAGCACTATGAAGCTGTCTGCAGCCACTGCAGCACAAGTTCAATCCCCAGCCAGGAAGCTGACCCACAAGGCACAGCAGACCTCTCCTGTCTTGCCCACTGCTCCCCTCAGTGGTATATTTCAGTAGATCTGCCTGTTCTGCTCCCCACTCTGTCTCTGGTGAATCCTCTCACCCCCCGCATCTCTGGCCTGTACCCCAGTTCTTATATGCATAAATAAATCTTTAAAAAAAATCACCTTTGCAGTTAAGGATTGAGCTAGCATAGCCTGGTCTCATCACTCTTGGGAGTTTGTGAAAGTAACAAGATAAATCCTTTCTAGTAAACATGATATAAATAAAGAAAATATTTCTTTTACCTGAGTGCGTGATCATATGACGTTTTAGTTGATTAGCTGAAATAAATTTCTTCATACATTCCTGACAATCAAATATTTCATGAATCTGCAAAAGGTTCAATGGACAGTTAATAAATTACAAGGAGCTTAAGTAAAAGTATAAACATGGGATAATCGCTAAATAAAATCATGTAATAATCCAACTACATATGGTAATGCAGCCCCAACTTGTTCCATTACCCTACATAGATTGAAAATGCAGTATTAGTTACCTAACAAAAACCAATCAGTAAAAGGACAGCACACTGTTTACATATGGAATACAGCTGACCTACTGTGCACATATTTAATTTATACTCAGGAAAAAAAACTATCAGTCTATATAAACATTTTCTTTGGCACAAATTTAGACTTGAAAATATATAACCCTAGGTTAATAATATTCCCCTTAGAGTAGGCAATAGTATTCTCAGCTTGAATGTATGTCTATAGAACTGACATTATACTACTGTGGAAGACAAGAAAATGTGTAATTCTGACATACACGTAGCCCACAGTAAAACTCCTGCACAACCATAGGAAAAGATTAAAAAAAAAAAGAGAAAAAAATGAGTGGGGGAGGTGTAATGTTTGTAAACAACTGACTCATATAAATATTACTACATCACAGACACTGCATAGGTGGTCTGAAGAGCAGTAGCCCAGAAAGAACATCAGAAAGAAGAGACTAAATTCCAAGAGGAAAGAACTGTGTGAAGCCTCATGTTAGAAATGCTGACCCCCTGTTCTGCTGAAGATCCACAGCTGGTTTGGGGCAGGCACATCCTCATTACAACCTCACTAACGGCAGAACTATTGATACAAAGCCAGACAAGATGCCCTGCTGTTCCTGCAGAGTAACTAGGGCTGCTACAGGGAAAAATACCACCAAGCAATAAGCAGAGAAGTGGGCTAACTCGGTCAACAGCTCCCTTATCTAAGCAGCTGTGGAAGAAACGAGGCAGTGGAACTGAGGCTGGGGGAGGTGAGCAGGTGCCAGGCCTGCAGGTGGCAGGAGGTTGGAGGTTCCTGTCAGATCCTATATTGTCATATTGGAAAAGTTAAGAAACTCAGGGGTATTTGGAGCCCAGAGGGTCCTGTGGTTCCTCAGAAGGCAGTGAGGGGTCGCCTCAAGGACTCAGGGGGCAGGTCCCCACAGTACAGAGGGAACATGGTCAAGGCAGCCTCTTCAGTCACCAAAGACCCTCACAGAGACTTGGGCTAAACCCCCACAGTACAGGAGTGATGACATGAAGTGTAAAGTTTAAAGATACTTAGAACAGACTTATGTTCTTCAACTGTTTCTGTAATACCTAAGAAGCAACTTCCATAGTAGTAACAAGACACTAAAAAAGGCAATATGCCTGAGGCGTACCTGGATGAACACTTATTTATAGTTAACATGGGTTCTGATCCAAACCTCACGAAAAAGCAAGCATCACAATAGAGTCACAAATTTTTGTTTCCTGGTACAATAAAAACTATATTTACAATGCACTGTGATCTACTAACTGTGGTTTTTAAAATACCTAAGTGCTAAAAAATGCTCGATTTCTAAAACTTCAGATTCCAGCCTACCTGATGGTATAGCAGTTAAAGTCTCAGCACTATCAAGCTATCAATAGCTACTTTGGCATGAGTTCTGACCCACTTGGCACAACAGACCTCTTCCGTCTCTCCCACTGCTGCCGCCAGCAGTGTATTTCAGTAGATCTGGGTGTTCTGCTCCCCGCTCTGTCTCTGGTAAATCCTCTCACCCACTGACCCCACTTCTGGCCTGTGCCTCAGTTCTTCTATGCATAAATATTTTTAAAAACAAAACTTCAGATTCCTAATATTTTTGCCAGTGGGGGGCCCTGACTCCACACAGATGAGCGCTGACTCATGGCGGGTTGGGACTGAAGGCTGGGGTGGCAAATGCTTAGAACAGTGAAGCTTGCTGCATTCATTGCCTTTTTTCCCCCCACAGAGATTCATGGCAGTGTTCGATGCTATTCTGGCAGCATTTTATCCCATTAGAACATTTTTCAGAATTGGGGTCCAGTCAGTCTTCTCAAACACCTGCCATATCTACAAAGTGGATGTCATAGTCTACTCTTTTCTTGTCATGTCAACAATGTTCACTGCATCTTCACCAGAACACTCCATCAAGAAACTACTTCTTTTGCTCATCCAGATGTTGCAACTCCTCATCTTTTACTGTGAGACAGAAGCAACTGAGACACATCTTCCAGGCTCACCTCCAATGTCACTTCTTTTGCATCTCTACCTGCATTTGCATCTCTACCTGGACCTGGTTCCCAGGTGAGCATGTGAAGCTTGCCCATGCCAGCAAGCACAGGACGCCAGCAGAGTGTCTGAGAATTTGACTCAATTCTGACACCATCTAAGTGGAGAGTCAGATTCCACAGGTTAAGAGCTCGGCCTCCCAAGACCACCCTCCACCTCTGATGCTGGCCACGAGCCTGGGCGCTTACCTGTGCTTCAGACTGACTGCACATAAATCAGAGGTTCATCCTCAGGTTCAATTAATTTGCTACAGCAGCTCAGATTCAGCAAACCTTTTCTCACTAGATCACCAAGTGATTACTCCAGACAGAGCTAAGCAACAGGCAGAAGGAAGAGGTGCACAGTCCCAGGAGTGGGACAAGGGCACAGAGTGCTCAGCCCTCCCTGGGCGGGCCACTGTCCCCAGCCTGGTAAATCCTGCAGAAGAGCGTACTCAGATGTGCTCATTTATTGACTCATTGCTTCTGAAACATGCAATGTTCTGCAGACAGAACTGAATTGCTATCTCATTGTGGCTTTAATTTGCATTTCCCGGATGATTATTTATGGTGACCATCGTTTCACGAGCCTGCTGGCCATCTGAATGTCATCTGTAGAACCAAACATGTCATCAGGTCCTATCTCTACCTTTTTATCAGATTTTTTTTGGTTCTTGAGTTACAGTTCTTGTGTAACCCCTTGCCTGATGCGATTGTTCAGTATCATCTCCCCTTCGGTAGACTAGCTTTTCATTTGCTGGATGACTTCCTGTGCTGTTTAGGAGCTTCTTAGTTTGCTATAGTCACATGCGACTATTTTGCCTGCTGGAGTTAAAGCTAAAAAACTGCATTGTGAAGACTAAGTGCAAGGTCTTACCACCTGTTTTATCTTTCAGGAATTGTGTGGCTTGAAGGTCTTACTTTCAAGTCTTTAATTCATGTTGACTGTGTGTGTGAGACAATGGTCTGTGGGTTTTGCCAGAACTATTTATCAAAGAGACTATCCTTTCCTGTTATGTATTACTGGCAACTTTGTCACTAGGTGACCATGTGGCTTTAATTCTACCTTTTCTGTTCTGTGCATTAATTGATCTATGTCTCTAATATTATAAAACTGATATTCCCAAATTATAAGATAGTGCATTTACTGTCCATGAAAGCACTTTTGCACTGACTATACCACAAAATTCAAACCCATGCTGGTCTCAAAACTCCTAAAAAGATTCAATAGAATAATCACATTTAAAGTAAAAATGACAAGTAATAATCTTCGTGCTGAATGCTAATTAAAACATTCTGTAAAATGTACAGCTTACCAAATGGATATGGAGGATAACTTCTAATTTGAAGTCCTAAACTAAGTTTTCAAGAAAGATCATAATATATCTTACCGTAATATAGGACCATTATATGGTAATGTAGATACTATATTAGACTATAATGTAATTAGGCATATTCATAAAGCACCATCTACTGGCCAGGTGAAATACTGCAACCAAAGCCCATAAGACATTCACACACCCCACTGTAAGAACAGTATCAAAAGTGGCATCAGGGAAGGCTGCCTATCGATTCAGAAACGCTGTAAGTAAGAGGAGCAAAGCTGTAATGGAGCGCTGGGCTGCCACCGCAACATATGTCTTTGGCAAAAGGATTATTTCACAGGTGGGACTCCAAAGGCTGAGACGGCCTTGCTCCTTCTTGAAAGCCATTTACAGGTGTAAAGGAAAATCTGTCTTTTTAAGGGTCTTTCTATTTGGGGAAAAACCTCATCTCCTTAACTCTTATTGGTGGAAAGACAGAACTAAACCTGCAAACAGGTCATACCTTTGCTTACTATGCCTTTCCTGGTAATCCTGTAACTGACCTTCCTCTCTTTCACCCCTGCTCACCTCCCTCCCTTGTCTTTATCTGGGGTTATTGAAGATGAAGACTGAGGCCATGTGGCTGAGTTACCCACACAGTCTCTCTGGGCCTCTCCTATGTGAAACACTCCACTTGGTAAAATCTTAAATTTGATCAAATACCTTAAATTTCAACGTAAGGCTTAAAGAGATCAAGAACATAAATCAGAATTATAAATGAGGTTATTTAGAAAATGTCCAGTCTACTGAATTTTTTTCCCTTTGTCTCAGCGGGAGTCCTGATTTAGAAACCATAAAGGTCAGAGAAAGGGAAAAAACCTAAAAGGTGAAGCTTTGGGCTGGACGTCTGGGTAAAACTCATTTTTGAAAGAAGTTTCCATGCTCACCTGCACAGCACATATGTTATTAAAATGGGGATGATACAAGAGAAGACTGGAATGGCCCAGCACAAGAATCACATGCCAATTCTTGAAGTATTGCATATTTTTTAACAATTTCAGGCAGAACACTGGTCAAAACACTGATTAACTCAGTATCATATTTCATAAGAAAACAAAAGCCTGATGTGACAGGGAGTGCTGATGAGGAAGAAGATAACGCTGTCCTGACTCTGCCAGTGCCTGCCCCATTACTTCACCCTGCAATCACAGAACTATCTCATGGTGTAGAAGGTTAAATCCCCAGCACACAGCCGGGCTACTGGACTGAACATCTCATGAGTTGCTTTGGAATACATCTATATCCAAATCAAGAGACAAAGTTCATTTCACAATCCACAACACAAATATCACTGGTACCATCTCCCCACCTCATTGGTATTAAATCTCTAGAAGAAAATCACATGCATGTAGATAATCTGAAATAATACATTAGATGAAGAAATACTTCTATCTTTGTGAAAGTAAGAAAATGAAATTTTTGCCATGAGGAACAAAAATCTAAATTCCATTTTAATTCTACTAAAAAGTATATTATCTTGTTGCAAAAGTTGTTAGGTTTAATAACTTTTTCAGACTAATTTTTCACATGAAAAATTACACTTATTATAAAATGCATAAAATGTATTTTCTCCCAACATAATCATTTCTGCCAACAGTCTGGCATATTTGTACACTTTTTGTAGCTCTTCAAAATAATGGAGTCTGTTTTGTCAGACTTTAATACTATGCACCCTTTCAATAACTGAATCCAAGGTGGAGCATAGTATTAGCATACACACATATGTAGTTTCCTCAGACACATACTGTTTCCTGAACAAACAGCAACTGATAAGCTACCCACCAAAGTGAGGTGAGGTGATGTAGTGAAGGACATCGCTTTGCACAAGACAAACAGTTCTAATTCTGAACACAATCAACAACTCCACATATATTTTTCTGCAGGAGTTTACATTCTTTTCTATCAGTCTTGCATTTCAAATGTTACTATTTATATTAATGACAAAGCTCTGTCTCTGAAATATTAAAAAAAAAACCAGCTGAAAATTGGCATGGCAGACACTATAAATGACTAGACAGACAATCTTGTACTCTGACCAGTAGTACTCTGTATCTTACTGACCTTTCTATGTTCCTGAAGACTTGATGCTGAAGAACACTTTTTATTGCACACTGAACATATGAGCTTTTTCTTAGGATCGCCTAAAATAGAACCGATATTAAAAGGAGTGTCAGATACAGTGTTTTTGTGTGATATATAAGTTCTAAATGGGTATTCTGCTTTTATCATTTAGAAAGCTAAAATTTTCACTCTTGTGGAGTAAGTTGTATTTCTTCTTATATTTGAGTTGTATTCAGCTCTATCCACATATATAATACTTGCACTTTTCCACATTCTAATTTAGTATTAAGAAAAAAACATTTCTATGAATAAACTCAATCAAAAATCAAATTAATCAAGTGTGTTGATAAAGGGAAAAAAATGGATTCAATAATCCATAGGCTGATTTTACTACTTCCTTCCAAATTTAACCACATGTGTGACTTAATCAACTGGATTTTAAACATTATTCTTTCCAGCACTAGGCTCTTGCAAAAGAGCAAAAACCAATACCATAATACACTGGATTGATATTCATAGCACTCAAAAGCCCAATTTTGTCTTCTTACATGGTCATTATATTTGCAGGAGCTCATTACATATTTGAAATTTCATAGTGGTTATAGAAGTCACTCAATAATAACCTTTTCAGGCACATTCTAGTAAAGGTGTCATCAGATCCACCACAAATAATCTCCAATAAGTAAACAAATATACAATCAAAAATAAGCATCAGGATAGTGCACTACAGTGTCTCCATGGTCTGGCCCCACACCACCATCCACACCCACTCCTGCCCATTTCTCTGTTATTCTGAAGCACATCCAAACTAAGGGGAAAAAATCAACATAACAAAATGATTGGCTTTTATTATAGGGCTGTGTTTATGAAAGAGGAACTTTCAGAAGAAACAACAATGTAAACTCTCATTTAAAATCCTTATTTCATAAAATGCATTATTCTAGCATATTAAATCGAGCAATGAAAATGTTCCTTGGTGAGTGACAAGTAATATGGCCAGTAAGCAAGAAAATTGTCCCAAGCAAAACAAGTGTGCGGCCCCTGGACCTGTCTCTACATACACACATATATGAGGGGTCCCTGAGACAGCACAGCCCTCTTTTTTTAAAAAGTATTTATTTATGCATATAAGAACTGGGGTACAGGCCAGAGGTGTAGGGGGTGAGAGGATTCACCAGAGACAGAGTGGGGAGCAGAACAGGCAGACTGACCAAAGTACACTGCTGAGGGGAGCAGCGGGCGAGCCAGGAGAGGTCTGCTGCGCCATGTGGGTGGCTCCCTGGCCAGGGATTGAACTTGTGCTGCGGTAGCTGTGGACACCTTCATAGGTTGTGTCTCAACCCCTTGCGCCACCAGGGAGGCCCAGCACAGCCCTCTTTTCCAGCACCACTAGCTAGGGTTTCCTTTCTTCAACCCATGCTCCTTTTCTGCCCTCCCTCTTCCCTCATACCAGCTGCTCACCAATATCAGACTCACTCCTGCTGCACGGGAAGCTAAGGAAAGTAGTGAAGAGGCAAGGAGAGAGACTGGAGCCTCACACCTCTTCCTCCTGCCACTACTCCACCAGCAGGGAGCACAGGCTGGGGAGCACTCAGCCCCCAACCCTACCCTCCAACTTCTCCCTCCTCCTCACATCTTCTCCTCTTCAACCCAGACCTGGAACCCTCACTCCTCTGAGAAGAAATATGGGCAAAGTCTAGGACTGCTAGCCTGAGAATGGAGATAAATGTTATCTCCCATCAATACAAAATCTGATAGAATCCACAGCCTCTAAGCAAGAGAGCAAAGATGGGGAGGGGTTAGGGAAGTCAGCTCGTTTGCTCTGTTTGCTCGTGTTCACTATGAAGGGTCTCGCCACCCTACCAGCTTCCCCAGGTTCAAGCAGACTTCACTCTATTCTAGTTTTCCTGTATTCAGGGACATCTGCTACTTAATTTATAGGAGTTGCATGAGAAACTGATACAACTATACCAAAAACCCAGTCGCTTAAATATTCATATGGATGAAGTGGGCTGCAGGGGCTGGTCTGAGAACCTACCTAGCACAAACTACGGCTATGGAAACCTGAGAGCCACATTTCCACATCCAGCTTCTCCCTTCTCAACATCTTCAGCTCATGCCACCTGACTAGGAACCCTTGTCACCGTCAGTAGTCACAGTGGCAGGACGTGTCTTCCCTGGAACGCCTCTGCCTCTCTAGTGACTCTCTCCACAACCACATCTCAACACTGTTGTCTTTGCTGGTCTGAATAGGAAATAGTCTTCCACTGCTTGTCTGCGCAGCTCACAGAGAAAAAAGGAGAAGCAAGAGAAAGGCTGTGAACCAGAAGGGACAAAAGGCAAGATGGTAACCTGTGGCTGAAAATACAGAGTTTCACATGTTGTAGGCTCCACAACATAGAAAAATAAAAACCTTCCCTTCGGAAATGATTTCTGACAAAATCACCATGAATTTCCAGAATCAGTATTATAATGCTCATAGTCAACTACAAGAAGCCTCAAAGAAAGGATGCCCCCAGCCTGAACACCACATGCCCAGAAACGAGAAGGCGAGCTTCCAGTATTTCCGTGTGCATCTGGTTTTTCACTTAGTTCAGCAAAGTTAACTTTAAAAATGACATGAAAGATTTGTTATAATCCATTGCAGACAAAGATGGAGAAAATTAAGTACAGCATTTTCAGCAAAACAGCTTTTTTGGGGGAAAAAAAAAAGACTGAAGTCAGGTCTCTCAAAAAGTGAGGCTGGCCTTTTGCAAACATAAGGTAGGTCCTGAGATAATTTTTTTCGAAATGCTGTATTTGCTTCCAGAGGGAAAAAAAAGGCTATCAGAACACAGCAAGGTGCTGGAGACAGCCAGTCCTGCAGCTCTCCTTCACAGCCCACACCCCCTACACCCAGAGCTTTCACAGATGGCCTGCCCATCGTGTACAGCCTGAACTGAAGCAGCAGCCCCTTCTTCTCAGCCTCTGTAACTTTACCATTCAAGGAGACACTTGGACAATGAGCAAACACAGGATACAAAAGCTGAGAAGACATTATCCTTTTCTCCTCTGCAGCATGAGAACAAACAAATGGGAGGAAAAAACTCCACTTTCCCCATGTCCAGGAACTCCCAGAAGGGCAAAGGTGAACACATGAGGGGAATGCCACACAAGGACGGCGGGGTTCCAGAAATGGCAGCCTTTCTCAAGGAAAAAGAAATCCAACGTCAACTCTGACAACACAGCCATCTGTTTGATTCAGTGCAATCGCTTCAAGCCCTAAACCTCGACACATTTACCATGTGCTAAGCAGATGAAATCTAAGAGACAAGTCAAATGTTTTTTCTTGTTTAGCTAGCCATTAGAAGGAACTCAGAGTATCTGCTTTATTAATCCAAACATATTCCACCCCTCAAAATGCAGTCTGTTCTTTTTTTCAATGGAGGAAAAATAGACACATTTAAAAAATTTAAGTTCGAGAGCCATGTGATACTGAATCGCTAAGAAGCATTATAAAAATATGAAGCCAGAAAGGTATCACTGAATGATTTCTAGATATACCTCCCCAAGTAAATTTTGCATGCTGACATACTCAAATAATTATTGGAAAAATTTTAACTCTTTGGCCAACCGATTACCTAGCACAACTAGATTCTAGCTGCAGTTTCCCATTCTGATTACTTCAGGCAGGAAGAAAAGACAAATGCTGCTGGAAACAACTTGAAAAAGAAATGGTGCTCACTGGAAGACAAAGGCCCACAGGCCCAGCTCCACATCTGTGTGAGTACAATGGGAAAGCCAGCACTAGAACGAGAATTACAAACAGATCCCTGGAGCCTGGGGGTTCGAGTGAGCCCCTTTGAAAATGACCCATCAACGACTTCTCACCAGCATGGACATTTTCCTGGTGTCGTCTCAGGGCATCCTTGCTCTTCAGCCTCTTCCCACAGCTGTCGGCCTTGCACACAAACCTGGCATCCCCCTGGCAGGTCTCCTGGTGCAGCTCAAAACTGCAAGACAACCGGGAAGGGGGTCAGGAAAAAGACGTGGTGAAGACCACCTACAAAACTCTGGCATCATGCTGGCTTCTGAATGGTGTGCTCCCTACTAGAGGCTCAGGGGCATGTCATGTGTTCCCCGGACAGGTCAGGAGGAAAGCTCTTAAGTTCGAGAGCCATGTGATACTGAATTGCTAAGAAGCGTAAAAGCACGCATGCCAAAACGACCCACGACTATGTGACATCTGATAACTCAGACACAAAACCTTGAGGCTGAATTGAAGGATGAACTGCAAACAGAACACTGAAAACTTCGTGAAGAATCCTTCCCTCGGCTTTTTGCTGTACACTGAAGAACACTGGAGGGAAATAGAAAAAAAAAAGTCTAAGACAAAAATCTATAAAAATATATCTACTTTGAGTAAAGTCATCCTATCTTTTCCCTTTGAAATATTTAGTAGCACCCAATTTAACTATTTTTTATATAAAAGATACATCTGAGCTAGTTCATAAACAATATTCCATAAAAGCTGGCTAGAAAGCAGCTCTAAAGCCCACTCATGAAAAGGTATACAGCCCTTGCTTTTTTAAAAGCCTACAATATACAATTCCCAAATGTGTAATCTCTTGCTTTTATAAAAGGTTTGAGCAGAAATTGTTCATGTTAAATGTCATGCACAAAGGTAGATGCATAATATGGAGATAACCTAAAATATAGCCTATTTCAGAATTTGATTTTAATGAATAAAGAAATAAAGCATTACACCTAGATGAAAGTATATAAAAGTATGTATCTACTCTCTTACTTTTAAGATGCACTGTACTATAAAATATTTAAGCAAAAGGATAATTTTACATGCTGTCGAAACAGCTGAACTAACAAAGGTGCAAAGCAATGAGCGGGATCATTTAATTGATCTTATATCCTACAGCTACTCATCTTCGGATTATTCCTCCGAAGTTTCTGTGAAATAAACTACTTCAAACCAGTGAGATGCTGTTTTATAGTAAGGTATTAAATATGATGATATATTAGCATAAACAATTTTTACTAACTATATATATTAACATAAACAATCTTTACTAGCTAAGCTTCATCATCAGAATGTTTCAAAAATCAATGTACTAAAACAAGGTGAATTAACCAGAATGACAATGAACATGTGGAATGCTTAAATCTCTCTCTATCTTCATCACAAACACACATTCAAATACACACACACACTCACAGCAAAGCACATAGCTTAGAAGCTATAGGACAAACCAAATGGAATCATTTGAACACAGTGTTAGCTTATAAGGTGTTCTTTATTGTACGTACTGTCTCTGCAAAGCCTGCTTTACTGGGAATTTCTTCCCACAGTTCTTGCATTTAAATTCTTTCTCCTCTCTGGGTTTCTGGTGCAGTGTCTGAAGATGCTCAGAAAGGATTTCCTCACTGGTAAAACTCGACTCACACTGAGGACAGGCATAGTCCTCTTCGCAGTCAAAGCAATCTGCACATTCACAAGGAAACAGATTTTTAATATGAAAATTTAGATACAAGGACTGTTTGTCCTCATTTCAAGATCAATTAATAACTGAGTTTAATGGTATCAAGTCAGTAATCCTGAACATCTCTATGAATAGTAATAGCGCTGTCCATGAAATTTAACAGCAGGTGTTATTGGCGAGAAATACATTACTGTTTAAATCATTTCACTTGTTTAAATCATTTCAGTCATTTCACTTGTTTCACCAAATTAATACAAAATGAAGTCAACTTTGAATTTACCCTACAAGGTAACTTAACACATCAAAGAGTTATGACAAATGTTCACTGGAAATTAAAAGTTGTCCCTGAAAAGGTTATTTTGAGTTCATTTTTTAGCCAAACAAAGAAAAATCCAACTGAAGTGAACTACACGTAATTAACAAAGGGAATCTTACATATGTGAAAAAAGACCAAGGTCATCAAAACTACTCTTTACAGTAGGTACAATGAGGTTCCTCAGTCCCAAGCAGACAGACAGGACTCCATTCAAATTTGCCAAAATATATTTCAATTCCATGTATTTTCTGATTTACAAGTAAGATTTAGAAAATATGAATGAAATTAAATCACCTATAGTCCCATAACAAAGAGACCACCTATTCCCAGGTCTGACTTGTTATTTGCAAATTCATTTTTTATGCAAAAATCAAGAAATAGCTACATTTATGATCATACTTTATATGCATTTTCATTTGCTGCTCTTTTTTCCCCACTTAACATTATACCAAGTCAAGGTATTTTTAAAAAAATTAAGGTAAGGGTCTCCCTGGTGGTGCAAGGGGTTAAGATGCAAACTATGAAGGTGACCACAGTTACTGCAGCACAAGTTTGATCCCCAGCCAGGGAGCAACCCACATGGTGCAGCAGACCTCTCCTGTCTCGCCTGCTGCTCCCCTCAGCAGTATAGTTCAGTCAGTCTGCCTGATCTGTTCCCCGCTCTGTCTCTGGTGAATCCTCTCACCCCCTGTACCTCTGCCCTGTACCCCCATTCTTGTATGCATAAATAAATCTTTAAAAAAATAATAAATAAATAAATAAGGTACTGTAACTGATTTGCCCAAATTCTCCACTGTTAGACATTTGGGTGTCTCCCTGGTTTCTTTCGTTGCTTGGTTAGTCATTCTTGTTTTGAATGATTTATTTGCTTTTAGAAACAATGTAAGTAAGTCATTTACATCTTTTCAAAATGTTTTGAAGTTTCTGATGATTCTTATTATGAAAATGGAATTTTTTTTTAACTAAAGAAAAACCAGGGTGGTAACAGATAGGCAGTGAAAGACACAGCGACATCAAACCCTGGGTAGTGGAGGAGAAAAATACAAAAAAAAAAAAAAAAAATCCCGTTACTCAAAATCTGACATTCCAAAAGGCATAATGCTTATTTGAAAAACACAACAGACAGCTCGTCCTCATGTTCTCCTTAAATAATCCAACTAAAATAAACAAAAGCATAAGCCAGCAATGCTAAGAACGCTCACACTTACTCAGCAGGGGCACACAGAGAACGGAAAATGCAAGACAGTACTATATGACAGCTAGTAGAAGAAAGCCATCGTCCTGAGGGGACTCTGCCAAATGCAATGGACATACACTCAACAGTAATAATCATTAACAAACTGTGAGTACCTATCCTATCAGGAAGAGTTCCCTCGAACCCCATCAGGAGTCTAACACAAGAAACAAGACCCAATAAGAATGGTTTATTCCCAAGCAGGTGACAAACAAGTGAGGTCGACCTCCAGGGTTAGAAGACTGGCCAAAGGTCACACTTTTGGGGGGACCCAGCTAAGATGACCTAGCCATCCCGCAGGCCTTTAGGATCGAAACCTAAAAGATCCCCAGCAGCTCCAGATTCTTAAGGATCTCCAAGAGAAGGGAGCCCCAAGAATAATCTCATAGAAGCCAGCACAGCCCCTTTCCTCTTGCCTCTGATGAACACATGATAAAGTCAAGTCAGAGAGGCAGTAATATGCCCCATAACCAGGTTGACTAGTGGCAGATTCAGGTATAGATGCCAAAACTCCTCCCACCCAAGGGGCCTGCTGCACAGAAGAGCCCCACAGCCAGGAGCCACCTCTGACCTTGGCCAACCTCCAGGTGAACCCACACCCTGCAAGGTCTTCTGCTGGAAGAAAGATAGACACACAGCAGGATCCCCTCCAAAAGCAGTTTTGACATAAACTAGCTCTATTTTGAGAGCATTCTACTAGAATGCAACTATAGTTCAACTCCAGTCCCAACTGTATTTCCCCTACAACTATCATTCTCTCAAACCACACTTGAGGAGCAATACCTTTTCTGCTAGCTGAGCATTGTCCTTTAGAAGGTCTCACTTCGCCTTCTTGGATCACTGTCATGATTTGCTGCTCTTCCTCCTCTGCCTCCATGTCGCTGTCCAGGTAGCCAATCAGAAGCTCTGTGTCTGTTTCTATATCTTCAATTGCCAAATAGAAAATGTTTTCTCCTTCCTGAGAAAAAAAATTTGGAAAAAAAAATGCTGTTGGTCAAATGAATCTCAGTCATTCCTGCAAAATAGTGAGTCAAGTACTTGTTTCTACATAAACTACATAGAAGAAAATATAGGTAAAACACTACAAGACATAAATCTCAGTAACATCTTGAAAGACTCATCACCCAAAGCAAAGAAAGTTAAAGAAAGGATAAATGCCTGGGATTACATCAAACTGAAAAGCTTCTGTACAGCAAAAGAGACATTAACCAAAACAGAGAGGCACCCCACTGACTGGGAAAAAATTTTTGCACTCCATGCAAGTGGTAAGGGACTGATCACAAAGATATACAAAGAACTCACATGAGTCAACAAAAACAAAGTAAATAATGCAGTCAAGAAGTGGGCAGAAGAATTTGAAAGACATTTCTCCAAAGAGGAAATGCAAACAGCCAACAGGCATATGAAAAAATGTTCAACATCCCTTATCATCAGGGAAATGCCAATCAAACCCACACTGAGATACCACCTTACACTAGTAAGAATGGCACATATCAAAAAAACAAGCAACAACAAATGTTGACGAGGATTCAGTGAAAAAGGAACTCTCCTACATTGCTGGTGGGAGTGCAAACTGGTGCAACCACTATGGAAAGCTGTCTGGAGGTTCCTCAGTCTACTAAAAATGGAGCTACCATACGATCTGGCAATTCCACTCCTAGGGATCTACCCAAAGGACACAAAAACACTGATCCAAAAGACCACCTGTACCCCTATGTTTATTGCAACACTATTTACATTAAGTAAAACCTGGAAACAACCCAAATGCCCAAAAATAGATGACTGGATCAGGAAGATGTGGTATATATACACAATGGAATATTATACAGCAATCAAAAAGATAAAACTCATGCCATTCACAACAACGTGGATGGAGCTAGAAGGAATGATGCTCAGTGAAATAAGCCAGAAGGAAAAAGAAAAATATCACATGGTTTCACTTATAGCAAGAATATAGGGGAACCAAATAAGACATCAGTGTAAAAAAATGACAGTACAAAACACAACAAAGCAAAAACAAACAATTATAAATCAGAGAAATCCTGCAGGGGAGGAGGGAGAGCGATCAGAGGGACGGAGGGAGGAGCACAGGGGACTGAGGTGATGGTGCACAGGTGCCTTGGGGAAGGAAACTATGGAGACTACACCTGAGGGGGTGGGGGGAAGCGAATATTGTTTAAAAATTAACAACAATGTAAAAAATAAAATACTTCTTTCTGACAGTAATTAGGAAGTCATTCTAACTACTATGTGCCCATTAAAGTTACTATTCATGTCTGCAGCTCAGCTGGGCACCAGAAAAAGAAACTGATAGTATTCAGTTCCCTACACAATGGGACACAAATGCATAGTTTACGGAGACAGTGACATTTAAGGGTAATCATTGAAAGTGAATTTTGCAGCACTCATTCGCAGGATGTGGCTAACACCTTGCAGAGGCCTGTAAATGTACAAGAAGTTCCAGTAATGATGTTATTTACATACTCAAAGAGTGTAATGAGATATTAATGACTTCATTATGATGAATGATTTCACTATGATTAACATGAAATGCCAAACTGAAAGGAAACAATACTTTCAAGTCACAACACACACCGGAGGAGCTACAAACCAACCCTGCTAGAATTTCCACAGAGCTGAACAAGAAATGGAATTTTCCAATCACTGGACAAGGCATCCAGGAGGTCCCAAGCACTGAGGGAATCTCCCTGTGCACCGCACCTCACTTCTAAATCCCACTCAGTGGCAAGGGAGCAGACAAGACAGCAAGGTCCCCCATCAACATGTCAACATTTTTCAAGGAAATTCTAGAAGACAGAAATCAGACAGAGCTCAAATGACTGATAACAAACGCAGAGCGAATCTCAAGGCAGAACAGACACAGAAGGGCAGGTCCTACAAAGAAGAGGCTGCTTCCCAAGGAAACCCCACAGAGACTTCACACTTGGAATCCTGTGGCACAAAAGCCCCTCCGGGCCTGAGGCCAATCACCAGGGAAGCCAGACCAGGGGCCAGGAGCCCCCAGGAGCAACACCAGCAGTGCTGTCTTTTACAGAGTTGCGGAATTTGTTCTAAGAGGCCTCCTAGTGAGGCTGCCTGGGAGAAAAAGAAGCAAAGCGTAGCCTGGATTTATTGGACCTTTGCGGTAGGCCAGGGGAGGAAAGGACAAGACAATGAGCTCCACCAGGAGTCAAATTCAATCAAGTTCAAAAGGCGGAACAAAGCCTCCTCTCCCTGGGCAATATCACAGCACTTATGTTCAGGAGGAGGGCCGGGGAGCACAGGGAGAGGAAAGAGTAATGTGTAACGAGTGAATGGATGGACTGGACGTACACACGAGCAGGAACCCCATGAAAAACTGGAAAAATACGCATCAAACTATTATAGTTATTTCCAGAATGGGCGAGGGCTAGTCTCTATTTCAATCTGTTTTTTTAGTTTTGTTTCTTTTACATAATTGCAAGATAAACTAGTTTTATTTACAGTTATCTTTAGGTCAGAAACATCCCCCATTGTATATTATTAATTTAATTAGTCAATTTGAGTCTATTAAATTTTTTTGTTGTTTTTTGCTTTCTTGTATTTTTACATCATTTTTCATTTTGGCACAGTGTATGTATTTTCATCTTGGTTATAGTTCCCATACAATTCCCACCCCCCTTGTTTTGATCCTACTCCCTTCTGCCCCCCAACCCCCACCGTAGTGTGTCTCTGGTTTATAGTTGCTTTTGATTTTGATTTTTACTTTGTTATAGTTATTCTTTTTCCTGGTCCCTTATTTAGGTTTTCTAGATTCCTGCTATGAGTGAGACCATCCGGTATTTTTCTTTTTCTTTCTGGCATATTTCACTGAGCATGATCCCTTCCTGCTCCATCCATGTTGCTGCAAATGGCATGAGTTTATCTTTCTTCATTGCTGAGTAATATTCCACTGTGTGTATGTACCGCACCAGTATCTATGAGAACAGTCCAAGGGAGAGATAGAAAGGACAATCATTTTCAGCAATAGCGTGCAAGAGAGAACCTACGTGAAAGTCCAAAGTGATGGAGGACAAGAATAGAAAAAAAAAAAAACTGTAAAGGAGGCGCTACAAGACCAGAAACCAGGCTCACAAGGAGGTTGGGGTACAAGAGATTAGCATAGCCATTGACACAGCTATGGCAACCAAGATCCTTAGGCACAGAAGACACAGTTGCAGAAACTAATATCCTTAGGTGCAGACGCCTAGATTACAAAGCATAACATCCAAGCAGGTTTTGGAGAGCACATCCAAAGGTAAAGATATGGAGATTGAGTCCATTGTAGGATCTCCCTTTCAAATTTTAGTTATTCAAAATTAGCAACTGTAGGGTCACAAGGAGTGAGCCCCTCCCAAACAGAGGAGACTATGCCAGTGCAGTCTCTGCACAAGAGGTGGGGAGGGGCAGCAATCCACTGCCCACCTGTGACTATACAGGTGCTTCTTTTCACCAACTTTCTCCCTCAGCAGTGGAGCTGCCTCCCTGCCTGCCCGTGACCTCTACCTGCAGGCTTGTCTTTACTGACCTCCCTCAGTGGAGACAGCTCTCCTTAAGGCTGCCCACCTGCAACCCTGCAGGCCTCTGTCAGCAAACCTGTCCTTCTGGGACAGCTCTTCCTGCCCACTTGTGTCTCTGCAAGTGTCTTTAGTTTTCTGTCCCTTTCCTTAATAAACCTGCCCTTTAAATATAATTAATGTCTCTGTCTCGTGGAGAAACTCACCTGGGGAACTCGCTGTGTGCTGCTGAAACGGGAGCTCTGGTGACACCTTTTCCAGAATGAACCCAAGGACCCTGCACTCCAAACCCACACACTCCAAAAACCACAACACAAAGCACTGAAGCAAATTAAACAACTAGCTACAATACATTAAAGGAAGATGCCATAACATTGAGAACATCCTTGGAAACTTCTGAATTTCATACCTCCAGAAACATGAAAGGTGGTATTTCAATAAGAACATCAATTTTGATGCAACAGTGTAGGGTAAAGAAAATATCAGGCTTTTCTGCCCTTCCGCCATCAGGATAGATGATGGATCCTTGTCCTGAATGCATGCCTGATGGCGGGCACCTGGAGTAGGGTGTGGGCAGATGTAGATAGGATTCACCTGGGCTAAGACTGTTCTTTTAAGAGCGGCGTCACGGGGACGCAGCAGCAGTAGTAGCAGCAGCAGAAGCCGAAGCAGAAGCCGAAAGAGAAGCCGAGAAGCAGCAGAACCAACTCCAGAGAGCCCAGATAGAGTGAAGACTTGCCTGCCAGCCCCCCAGCCAGCACCCCTGCCTGCCATATGCCTAGTGAACCCCAAATAAAAAACCTGCAAAACTACTGAGGACTCTGACTCCTCCTTTACCCTGTCTGCATGGGATCAGAAAACCTGCACTGTGCCTGGTCCTGCCTTTACAAACAGTAACACTTAAGCAACAAAAAAAAAACAACACACTCAGGGAAAGAGAGGTCTCTTTCTAGATTAACTGAGATGCTAGACTTTCCAGGGTTTGGAAAGCACTAGCTAAGAGCTGCCCCACTCCACCTCGGATTCACCTAATGAACATCACAAAACAGAGTCATAAATCTCAGGGCTTATCTGATCAATATCCAAGGAAGTTCCCTGAATGTCTTTTCAGCACATTAATCACCAATTTTGTGAGGGCCTTCATAGCTCTAAGGGAAGATAAGAATTTTTCATTTTAAAACATGGTAGCATTAACCTTAACTGCAACCCTGAGGCACAGCCTGCCTGCGTCTAGGTCCTGTGATAAAAGAACATCGTCACACAGCAGCCTGAAGGCTTCCAACATAAAAAAAAAAAGCCAGCGGGGTTTCTAAGATTTCAGCTGTACCCAGCTCACTTCTGCCCACACATGGCAGATCCCACAGGTCAAGGGGTTAGCCTCCCAAGCTCTGCCCCACTTAGGCGTCAGCGGTGCTGGCCACCA